AAGGAAGGAAGGAAGGAAGGAAGGAAGGAAGGAAGGAAGGAAGGAAGGAAGGAAGGAAGGAAAGAAGGAAGGAAGGAAGGAGGGAGGGAGGGAGGAAGGGAAGGAGGGAGGAAAGAGAAAGGAAAGGAAAGGAAAAGGAAAAGGAAAAGAAAAGGAAAAAGAAAAGGAAAAGGAAAAGGAAAGGAGGCCAAGTCACTATTTATTGAACATTCTTAAGAAGTGAGCACTGGTTACCTACATGCTCTCCTGTGGTCAATCTCCTTCATGACAAATCTGAGACACAATAATTACTAGACAGGTTTAAGGACAGGATGAAGCTGAAAGGCTGGGTGACTTCTTCAAGGTCTCACACATTCAGGAGGAAAACAGGGTTAAAAATGTGGGTGGTTTTACTCACTATTAACCCATGCTCTGAAACATCTGTCCTAAGCTTTTGGGGACCCTGCCTGGTTCTTCAAAACATGCTCCTTGTATCAACCCTCATTGGTTCTTGGAGACAAAGGCACACAAAGGCAACCTATGAGGATGGCGTGTTTACAATGCTTGGTGATCCGTGATCTATATGGCTACAAAACTCAGCACTGTTTGGTTAACTCTGCTCTCTGGAGTTGATTCACAGAGCATTTGCACAAAAGGAGGGTGGGAACTTATGGAATAGAACCAAAACCTGGTGATGTCAAGGTGTGTTTAGTCTTTGCTCAGATGTGCTTCCAAAACATTTCTGGCAGAGCCAAGAATCATCTAAGGCCACTTCTTTATTTAGAGTTCTTTTATGTATGCACTCACACAGCCATTTCTTATTAAGAAGCATTAAAAGTAGCGCGGGGCACGTTTCTAGATCCTTTCATCCTAGGATATAAAAGTACTTTATGGGTACGCCCATTCTCTCTGTTAAACAAATCTCCCCTGTCCCATTTCTGAGATGGGTACAAACAAAGGATAGAACTTGGGAGGTTTAAACTCTCATTTTCTCCTGTAACCATTGTCACATTTCTAATAGGCAAAAGGATTTCTAGTGTTGGAAGACTTTCCCCATTTTCTTCCTGTCAATCATTTTTTCCTTTCTGTTATTATCTTTATAAGTAGTTCTACAAAGGAGATGCCATTTAACAAAGCAGTTTATGAATACAATATATTCTAATCAATGTCATCCCTTTCAACATTATCACTACCCCTCCCTTACTCCATCCACATCAACCAATTTAAAGAACATAGTCCAGTGATATTTAAGTATAGCTTCATTATTTGACCACTACCATTACTCTCCAAGTACCCTGTATTAGTGAAGCTATTTATAATTGTTGTGACTGGCTTACTTCACTGAGCAAAGTATCTCCAAAGTGTATCCATGTTGTAGCATGTATCAGAATTCCCTCCCTTTTGAAAGCTGTATAATTTTCAATTGTATGCATAAACCACATTTTGTTTTCATCTTCCGATTGGTTGGTGGATGTTTGGGTTGTTTACACTCTTGGCTACTGTGAATAATTTTGTTATGAAAGTAGATATAATATTATCTTCTGAAGACCCTGTTTTTGATTATTTTGGACATACACTCAAGAGGCAGAACTGCTGGTTCATCTGGGGACTCTATTCTTTATCTGATGAGGAGCCTCCATCTTGTTTCTCACAGTGGCTTTACTATGTTACATTTCCATTAGTAGAGCACAAAGGATCCAACACATTATTTTCCATTCTTTTGGTGGTAGCTATTGTGAGATTATATTTCATACTGTCCTGGGTATCTAGTTTGTGTGTGTGTGTGTGTGTGTGTGTGTATGTGTGTGTGTGTGAGAGAGAGAGAGAGAGAGAGAAAGAGAGAGAGAGAGAAAGAGGGAGAGGGAGAGGGAGGGAGAAAGAGAGGGAGAGAAAGGGAAAGGGAGAGAATGTGTTTGTGTGTCTGTGTGCCAGAACTTGGACTTGAACTCAGGGTCTGAGTATTGTTGTTTAGCTTTTGTGCTCATGGCTGGTGTTGTGACTTGAGTCACAGCTCCACATCTTGCCTTTTTGCTAGTTAACTGAAGGTAAGAGTCTAATGAACTTTTTTGCGCAGGCTGGCATCAAACCAAATTACTCAGATCTCAGCCTCCTGAGTATTTAGGATTTCAGGCGTGAGTCACCAATCCTTGGCATGAACTGAGCATTTTGATTTCAAATTACTTGAAGTAACTTCAATTATTTTAGAGGTCAGTGTTAGGTAGCAGTAGCTATACTTGGACATAAGGCCAACATTTGTATTCTCTTTTCTTTGGGATGACAGGACCTCTATGCTTTCTAAATAAGTATTTAAGGGCCCTTAATGTTCACATCCCAGACAAGCATATTAACTTACCTCTCTGTATTTCTTATCTCAGGAGTAAGTGTGTGTGCATGTATGTGCATGTGTTCCTCAGTTCCCCTTGATTATCAGACAACTGTGGAGTATGAAACACCCCAAACTAAAAGCCCCAAATAGCAAGTCTAGAGTTGAATACATACAAGTGACATCAGGAAGAAGCTAGAAGCCAGCAGGTGCAGGCCCCAGGCCTGTGGAAACGAGGACCTATGCTGCCCACAGCTGCCTCTCTGGCGGGAAGTAGTTACTCAATAAATACTTTCTGAATTTATGTTGAATAGAGGAACTATGAGCAACGACAGGAATTACTGGGCAGGTAATTCAATCTCTAGAACACTCTCCAATAGTCTTCCATTAAGCAGAATTTAAAAAAAAAAATTAAAAGCCCAAGAGAAAATGGCAATTCACCTCTGTGCCATCTTAGCAACCAAGTCCTGGGCCTATGTGAAGTGTTCAGCCCACATTATGTCACGGAATTGCCTCATAACAACTCCCAGAGATGGCTCCTGGTAGAGAGAGAGAATAGAAGTATGAGTGTTCCCCATGGCTCTGTACTGGGGTGAAATCACTCACTAATGTTTAGTTTTGAAAGTATCTGCGAAGCATCTATGAGCTCTGGGATTCTCAGTCTCACAGATCCACAGGACGCCTTCCACGGAGATAATCACCCCTGAAAGGGTAGCTTTCGTTTGTTCAGCCAAATTCCCTCATTAAGACACTTAAAATCCATGTTTCCTCTAGAGTGCTAAGTAAACCATTTATCATTCTATTCTCAGAATTATGTGGTTATCAGTGGATAAAACTCAGACACCTGGGGAAGATGAATCCTGAAATCTGCCTAGGTAATCTAGGTATTATTGAATCAATCACTCTCTCTCCATTTCCCTCTCTCTGTATTTCTTTCTATATATATTCTTCCCCCCACCCCATCTCTTACACATACACACTCACAGAAATAAACAAACATACAAATTCTAGTATCTGGTTCAAAAAAAAATGCCCATTGGAAATATGCTCCATTGGCAGATAGGATCAATCTTTTCATCCAATTATAAAAAAAACAGCAATAAAATTAAAAGCAATTAAACTTGGGTGCCCTTATGAAAGGAACATGTGCAAACACTCTGACTTGCATACCTGAGGTATGATTGACATTTTCTTCCTTAAATCATGAAGTCCAATTTCACTTGTCAAGATCTTATCAATCCAAATTTTCCCTTCAGGTTCTGACAATCTGAAAAGAGCTGAGATGAGGGAACTTTTTCCAGCTCCCGTTCTTCCCACAATTCCAATCTACAAAGAAATCAAGAGAGAAGATTTAAAAAAAAAATCAACAACATGCAATAAACTAGGTTTAACACATTGGGGTCTGAAGGTGAATTAGGAAAGCTTTGTGTTGAATACTATCTAAAAATTCCTCAATCTGTAAGAATGGCTGGCCACTTTTTGTTGTTCTTGGTTGTTGACAGTGGTGAAGGGGTTTGAATTAAGGGGTTCATGATTGTTGGACAACTGCTCTACCACCTGAGTGATGGCCTCAGTGTTTTTCACCATTAGCTTATTTTTCAGACAGAACCTAGTACTCCTTTCACTGTTCAGCTGGTACTCAACCCTTTGAGCAACACCTCCAGCCCTGCTCTTTTTGCTACTTATTTTGGAGATAAGAGTCTCACAAACTTTTCTGTCCAGGCTGGTTTCAAATCTCTATGCTACAGATCTTAGCTTCCTGAATAGCTGAGGTTTGTAGGCCTGAGCCACCAGCACTCAGCCCCCTGCTTTTTGTTTGTGTGGGCTTGGACTGCAATTTTATCTTTACCTCTTGAGTAGTTGAGATCACAGGTAGATACCAACACACCCAGCTTGATGGCATATACCCAGGATGGCCTTATACTGCGATCTTCCTCTCTCTACCGCTTGAATTGCTGGAATTACAGGCATTTGCTATTATATCTGCATCAGGGCAGTACAATCCATTTTGGTGGGGGCTATCCTGTGTACTCTGGGCCATTTACCAGTATCTCTGGATTGTACCTTCTTGGTGACAGTGGCTGCTCCCAAAACGTGACAACCAGAGATGTCAGACATTGACAAATGTCCCAAGGGGATAAAAACTGTCCCTTGGTGAGAACCAGTGGTCAACAAAAGAGTTAAAAGGAGCAACAGGGAAAAGCCAGCAGTTTCCTAAGTGGGTTTTGAAAAGAAGCTTTATTTCCAAGGCTTCAGTGCTTTTACAAAGTATGTGAGAGTACTGAGACTTGAACTTAGTACCTCATGGTCTTGTCTGGCTTTTATTGTTCAAGGCTAGCTCTCTACAACTAAGCAACTGCTCTACTTGCAGCTTTTTGCTGGTTAACTGTACATTAAGACTCTAGTGGACTTTTCTGCCTGGGCTGGCTTTCAAACTGCAATCGTCAATTCTCTGCTTCTGGAGTAGCTAAGCTTACAGGTGTGAGTCGCCATGGACATCTAGCTAGGTCTCAGTATTCTGAACTAAGAGAATTTCTTTGGTAATTTCATAGAGATGTTATTAACCACTCATAACAGAGATGTTATACATACACAAGTATTGGTTGTTCTGAAGTTCTATCATTTAAGAGAAATTACTCACTGGAAGAGAAAATAAGTCATTTCCAGATATTAACTATCTGGTTATATTCTGTCTCAAATAAAAATACCTTAATTTTTTTTAAAGTATAGGTCTCCAAATCTTAAAAGACAAAACCAGTAACCAAAACACAAACAATGAGATCAACACCAGCACCACAAATAACATTTGCTCCATGCATGAGGCCTTTCATCTGTGCAGTTCAAAAGGCATTTACCAACCAATTAATACTTACAATTGCCCCTTGGGAAAGATTTGTGTCAAAAATTATTTCTCTTTTTAAAGCCAGAGCAAGGGAAAATAAGAACACCAACAATAAGATCAAAGAATCAATAATAAAATGCAGGTAAAAATGCAGACCAGGAGTGAGACTGTGTTATGAAAACTGGCTCTTAGAAGTGTGCATTTAAACCTGTAGGAGGAAAGCTGGCATTTCTGCCAATGAGCTGGCCCGTCTGCAGACTCCATGGTAAGAGCTGACATCATTCTTATTCAAAACTCTGCAGCTATGCAGGGCATAGGCCAGGCTTTCTACTGCCTGTAAATTATTTCAATAAAAATTTCAAACCTCATTGCTTTATGCAGAGAGCAATGGAACTTTACTGCACACTAATTACATGCCAGGCATTTTATGTATTATCTCATTAGAATACTTCCAAATGAAAATCTATAAACACTAAATATGGCAATTCAACAATTTATTCTTATAGAGATCAATGTAGAAAAGTAGCTTTATCTACTTTTTTTTTTTTAAAAAAAACTTTGCAGCTTTTACTGTCTTGTGGGAACTGAATTTTTTTTTTCTCACAGATGGCCTGTTTTCTGCACCTAGGTATGCCCTCCATGCGTCTGCAGGTATCTTACCAGTGTTTCTGTCATCTCTGGATATTCTATGCAAACTGCCATACAGCAAGACACATGCTGTGTTTGTGTGAGTATGTGGGCATTCATGCTACTGGCTTCCAGGGGAACCAACACAGCTACTTTGCCTGCTATGGGGAAATGGCCAGATAGATGCCTCAAAAGCAAATGTCTCAGGTACCACAGGATGGTGGGCTCCAAGTTCTATTAATTAATTGATTTAATTAGTTCAATTAATACATTTAATTAAAAGGCAACCCAAAAAAACCCTGGCACTGACCATTTCTTCCTACTTTGTAAAATGCATCAAAACTACAGTCTGGAAGATTTTCACTGATGGCTGGCACGAAGGTATTGCCAAGTTCACCATATTACAGCCCTGGGACACTTGGAGATAGTCTTATTTCAGTTGCTTTGACACAGATCCTTTGTGCTTTACCAATTCAGCCAAGGTTTACCTCCAACAACTTTACAACCTGTTAGGTATTTGTTTTTGGATCTCTTTTTATACACCAAACTCAGCATGCACAATGCCCTGTGGCCCATTCAGCATGGCTGCTGCCTTGGACTTCCTCACTGTATCTGTTGACTTATCCACCTTATGTCCAGCTTCCTTCAAAGGCAGCCTAGTGCCAAGCCCTGAAAATATACTTTTATTTTTATTTTTTTCCAGTTGTGGGGCCTGAACTCTGGGCCTGGGCGCTGTCCCTCAGCTCTTCAGCTCAAGGCTAGCGCTCTATCACTTGAGCCACAGCGCCACTTCTGGCTTTTTTCTTTGTGCTTATGTGGTGCTGAGGAATCGAACCCAGGGCCTCATGCATTGCAAGGCAAGTGCTCAACCCCTGAGCCACCTTCCCAGTCCTGAAAATATACTTTTATTTCATGACTCTGTTCTCTTACTTCCACTTCCATGGCCATCACAGGTGCAGAGCTCTATCACTTTCAAAAAATAAAATAAAAAATGTCACACTGGTGGTGTTAAGCAGTGAAGTCTTTTTCCCCTCAGGATAACAACAACTATGTCTGACTAAGCATTTCCTCCGTGTCAGTCTCTGAGTTCCATATTTTTGGTTTGAAGTTTGATATTCTACCTCCCATTTTACAACTTGTCTGAAATAAGCCAGCAGCAGAGTGGGGCTAGAACCCTGGTCTGTCTGCCTCTTTCTTAGTCATTCAGCCTTAGGCCTCTTATTGCTCCCCTGGCCTAGTACTATATTCCTCCCTACAACGCAGCTAGCAGGGAGACAGTGGGGTGAGGTATGGCCTCTATACAGTCACCGCTGCAAGGCATGTAGCACACCGTGTGCACATGAGTAGATGATGTGGAAAGCGGGAGAAGAACATGGGACATAAGCAAGACTACAACTCTCCACAGAAGAACTGGTACCCACGGCAGAGGCTGAGAAAGAAGCTCTCGGTAGGGGAGGAGGGGCCGCCATGCACTGGCCATCTGGGAAGCAGGACATACCTGTTTGGGGGCAACAAAGCCGCTTTTCTCTGTCACCAGGTAATAAAAGGAACTCAAGAGCTGACAGTGCCTCCTTGATTGGTGGAGACTGAGATTGAGATTGCTGGGGAGAGGGGAGAGCCCTGGACTGCATATGAAAATAGATGAGACAGGGGCTGGGAAGGTGGCTCAGTGGTACAGAGCTTGCCTTGCATGCATGAGGCCTTGGGTTCGATTCCCTAGCACCACATAAGCAAAAAGAAAAAAAGCCGGAAGTGGCGCTGTGGCTCAAGTGGTAGAGCGCTAGCCTTGAGCTGAAGAGCTGAGGGACAGCGCCCAGGCCCAGAGTTCAGGCCCCACGACCAGACCCAAAAAAAAAAAAAAGAAAGAAAATAGATGAGACAGACTCTATTGGAAAGTTGCAGATAAATGCATAAACTTGGAACTGTACAGAATTAAATTACAATGTATCCTCACACTTTGCAGAACACAAAAGTAAAAAAGCATCTCTAAAGCAGTCAATAGCTCAGCACTGCCTAGTGTGCCACGCTTAGTTCCAAGAGGGCTTAGTGAAACCCATGAGCTCAAGCAAGAAGTATATGGAAGTTTCTGGAAGACCTGGGTTATTCGTCATGAAAAATTGAAAGACGACTTGTGGGGTGGGGGGTGGGGGGTGGGGGGGAAGGAGTTATATAAAAGCCAGTCTGCTTCCAACAGGGCTGGGGTCTGAAGCTCTGCCTTTCTCTCAAGTTCCCATCAAAGTAGGTGTTGCCAGGCAGCCAGGCCGGGAGACCGCATGTGACAGAAGGGCTCTCTGAGAAAACATTATGTAAAAAAGGAGACAAGATAGGAAACTAATATTTTTTTTGCACATTATACCAAGGTCTGGTACACATCTGTAAAAATGTATTATCGAAGTAATAGCTCTGCCCAAGGAAAAAAATAACAAACCAAAATCAATCTACCTCTCGAGCTAGAAATGCTTTAAAATGGCCCAGTACTCTCTCAAATGATCAAATCAACCACAAAATCACCTAAATGAAAAATGCCGCAAGTGTTTAGAATCTAAACAGGAAAGCCGGGGTGGCTATTGACTTCATTTTTATTCTTTATTTTTACTTGCTATTTCTTCCATGAATTAGAAACCTGCTTAGTACCGATTATATATAGATATATTCCCATTTAGTACAACTTCCAGGAATCTCAGCAGCAGAAACCACTGACGGAGAATAAAGCTCTTGTTTCTGCTGTGTGGGCACATTCTTGTGTCCCCGCCTCGAAGTGTCTCTCAATCAAAGCTGACACCATATGAGGCTGGGCACAGGTGGCAAAGACAAAACCTGATGAATACAGCCAGAGAGAAATCAGGGGATGCTGCCGCCTACATCCAGCCTCTAAATACAGAAAGCAAGTGAAGACAAGGTGGACCAAGCTACAAATCCAAAGTCCAGTTGTAGGGAACAAGGGCTGACAAAGAAGAATGTAGATAGGGTGAATCTGTGTAAGTATCACAACAAAATCCCTTTTCACAGTTAATATAATGTACTTTTCAAGAATCTAGTTATGCTACATATTATAATTCAGCCTTCAAATTCACCCAAACATGGTAGCCTATGGTTTGGGGGGAATTGTCTGAAGAATACAAGTCTGGAGCTATAGGTTGTCTTCTAAGCTACCTAACAGTGTTTCTTGGATAATTCCTATTTTGTGGGTTCAAGGGAAGTGGGTTCTGTGTGACAGAATGATGTTTGCAAAGGTCTGATCTGACAAACACGGTCCGCAAGCAGCCAACATTCTACAGTGCTGTCAGGAACAGAGCTGAGAGGCTTGGCTTTCATTCTGGTGAAAGCTCATGTTTGGCCCACAGTCATACTTATTACCATCCTCAGACTTACAAGGATGCTGTGAAAATAATCAGGGACTTGCTTGTGACTTACTAACGCTCTTCCCTGTATACCTTTTGTCGATTTCTTCTTTCTTGTCACAAGCATATCACTCCTTAATCATGGATTAGGCCATTCCATGGATCCATGGTGGAAAAAGTGAAGAAGAGCAGGTGCACTGAACTCATGAATTGATAGGTTGAAATGAAACTCCTTTATATAATTATTTAAAGACAATTAAGGATTTTTTTTAAAAAGCAGTTTATAAAAGCTCTGGGATAAAGAGTTAGCCAACATTCAATCCCTACTACCACCAAAACAAACCAACCAACCAACAAACCAATAGGACAAGTATTTACTACTTCCATTTAGAAATGGGTTGTTCAGGGTTTTCTCGAGTATATTGTGTGGCACATTTCTTCCCACCCGTATATTATTCCCTCACACTTGCAGCCAGCTATCCTTAGCATGCTTTAACACAGATCATTTATTGGGAATAACAGTGACTCTGAAATGTTCCCTAACTGTAAGAGGCCCCAAGGGACCATGAGATAAAGGTTCAGAATTAAAAACAATGTCATGATATTTTATTTTTCAGTTGTGGTAAAAGAATATAAAATTTATCCCTGTAATCCGTGTGTGTGTGCGTGCGTGCGTGCGCGCATGTGTGTGTGTGTGTGTGTGTGTGCATGTGTGCATGCTGGTATTAGGGCTTGAACTCAGGGCCTATGCACTGTCCCTTAGTTTTATTGCTCAAGATTAGTGTTCTACCACTTGAGCCACAGCTCCCCCAAAAGATGGTTGGTTGAAGAGTCTCATGGGCTTTCCTGTTCTGGCTGGCTTCAAACTGTGATCCTCAGATCCCAGCCTCCTGAGTAGCTAGGATTACAGGCATGAGCCACTGGAACCTGGCCTCACTATCATCGTTTTCAAGTGAACACGTCCACAGCACGAATTACATCCCATTGCTGGGAAACCTTTACACCATCCATTTCTGGATCTCTTTACATCTGATGAAACCTGAACTCTGTAACCATTAAACAACTCCCCACTCGTGGCTCTTCCTGTCTCTAGCCATCCCCATTCAATTCTGTGTTTCTGTGAGTTGGACTCTAGGCATTGCATTTTAGTGGATCGCACAGTACTATCCTTGTGTCTGGCTTTCTGGTCAGCCTGATCAGCCTGATGCCTTCAAGGCCCATCTGTGCTGCTGAACATGTCAGAATCGCCTTCTGTTTTTTTTTATCCCAGGCATGCAAACAAAAATGCATCACATTTTGCCCATCCATTTCTCTACTGATAGACCTTTAAGTTCCCTCCACCTTTTGAGTGGCATGAATAATGCTGATGTGAACATAGCATACCAAAAAATACTATCTTAAATTTCTACTTTCTAGGTGTATTGGTTTAGCTCTAGTTCGGAGAGCACCAAGCCACAAGTGAAGAGGAGCTTGTTGGGGGGATGTAGGCAGTGGTAGAAACTGAGGTCCTTGAAACCAGCTCCACCATCTCCTGAGCCTCCCTGGTTTTTCTTTCATCAACTCTGAAAGCATCTTTTGGCCCTGTGCTGTCTGTCCCCAGCATGGTGCTCTGGTTTCTGAGCTCTAATGGGGTTGTGGTTTGTGGGCTCTTCCCTAGTAGGAGACCTCTACCTGGCCATGAAGCTCTGCTGGAGCAGGGCTGGGGTCCTGCTGGCCTACAGCGGTTTGTCCAACCCAGAAGCTAGCAGCGCATAACAAGAAGGTCTGAGTTGCATTTCAGAAAGTAAGTCTATAGCTTAGAGAAAAGCAAGGAAGACAAAGAAAAGGGACAAGGGATGACACATGAAGTAGGAGGGGCAGGAAGGGACAGTGAGGCAGGAGAGAGCGAATAAAAGTGATAGAAAGCAGACATGGGAGCCTTAGTGACAGTAAGTCAGGGTGGACTTGTAAGATGAAATTGTGAATCAGAAGATGTATCAAATTCTGTATCCCAAGACAGGTGAAAAGCCAGCTCTGGTAACCAGGACTCATGAAGCCACCTATCAGTTACTAAATTCCAACAAAGTCTTCCAACGAAGACTTACGTCAGTCGCCACTGATCTACTCTGCACAGACAGGGGAACAGAGTCTCCTTAGACAGGCCCACCAGAAAGTCAACAGGCAAATGCAGGGCTCAGTCTCAGGTGGAACTCTATAGAGAGGCAAGGAGCATTCCACAAACCTTTTCCCTTGACTTAATGAGTGCTGTCAGATGCTTCAGTACCAGAGGCCCATCCAAGCTGTAGGTGAAGTTCACATTATCAAAGACAATCGCTCCTTCGTGGGGCCAGTTTGGGGGTGGGCGTCTCTGGCATTCCCAAGGTGCCTCTTTTTCGAGGTCTGTATATTCAATCACCCTCTCCACGGAGATCATCTGAAAGAAACATGGAATTATGTGGGTCAGGCCCTGAGGACCTTGCTTATGATTCTTCTTAAATTGATGGCTTCATTACAAAGCTGAACAAGGGTAGCTCAGGGCTCCACACACACAAAGACTGAAGCGGATCTCTATCAATTGTAAGCTTGCACATGATCACAGAAATACCCCAACTTAAGGCGACTTCCTCATAATATCATACAGTATAGTACAATAATTCCTATAGTACTAAGTGAAAACCAAGAGGTTTTGTTAAAAAAAATACGTCTGACGTCCAATCAATATTCTTTTGCTATAGAAAAGAGACTGGCTATGGCTCAGTTCAAGAGTCATCAAACCTCACTGCAATAATAGGAGAAGGGAGAAATGGGAAATATTTCGTGTTTGTCATTTATCTCCTTTCAGGAGGAGTAAATACTTAAAAGAGGAAGTCATTTGCATATTGCTTGTACCCTCCTAAACAACCATAACCTGATACCTTTGACAGAACAGTCCAGGAAGGGACATACCACCCTCCCCCTTAACCCACAGCCTCCCATCTTCGGCTCATCACAGGGGAAAAGAAACTCGAAAGCTGGGGTTGGGGGAGGGCTGAGGATGGGGGAGTGAGGAAGATCTATTAATTAAACAAACAATCTCAAAATACTGGATGCCTCTTTTGCCAAGCACGAGGTATTACCCATTAAGAAACAAAAATAAACAGGCCTCTAAGAAATTAGCTTATACCCTCTCTAGGATTTCAGAACTTCCCTCCTACAGAGACATTTATTACATTTGAAGACAGCTTGTGATGAATATAAAACCTGCTGACATAGCATACATGAGACTGAGAAAAAGATGTATATATTTCATTTTACATTAACTTTAAACAGATGGAGGAGGGAATCGGAGAAAAAAAAACCAACTCTGTGAGCTATGATGTAAAAATAACAGTTTTAATATTTTACATAAGAATCGCTTTTATGCCATTAAATGGCAAGGCCACTTGAAAAAGCCATGAACGTTGAGATAAACATTACCATATTCTCCACTTCAGCGCTTTGTCTCACGGACCACTGGAACATCCCCATGAGCGTGAGGGCGTAGGACAAGGCCAAACCAACCTGCCCAGCATCCAAAGCTACAGGAAGGGGAAGGAGGGAATAAAGTCAAGGTCATGCCTGAACCTGGCTCCTTCAGCCACTTGATCACAAGGACCCAATGAGTTGGGCAAGATCGTTAACCGTTATTTCCACAACCTGTTGAGATCATGATAAAAAATTTAAACCCCTGTGAATTCAGAAAGATGATTCAAGTGAGTTCACTCATCCCAACAGGATCAACAGATTTTAGGAAAACAATAGCATTTTTATAGATGAAAGTGAATGTCTTTATTCAGATAGTCACCAGTACGGTTTTGAAATATATTACATAAGCTCACCTATAGGCAATGACATCACAGGAAATCATTGAAACTAGAAGAGAATGGGTGCTGGGGACACAATGTTCGTGAAAGTAAACTACTATGCTCATGGTTTTATTCTGGAAATAGTGTAATGTGGTGGTGGGACTGTGGATGAGTTAGGCACAGCGAATTCATGTCACCCACGCAAACATCTGGTGATACGGAACCCATCCACAGGCGATGACGATGTTCTTTCCTGCTAAGACTTTCTCAACCCAGTATATAGCCAATGACACCAACATCCAAGTAATTCAGTGCTCAAACCTAGACCCTGCAGTAATGGTAAAGTTGGTTCTTTCCTCCCAAATACCAGGACAGGAATGTTCATGATGTTATTGGTAGCCCACAAAAAAAGAAAGATAAAAGTGACCCGGGAAGACTCAGTGACTCTGCTCAATGGGCGCAAGCACACCCATCTTGACATGCTGTAAACACTTTAACACAAGTCATTAGAACCACACAGTATACGCCATTGGACAAGGTGGCAAGAGTTTAATTTAATAACTGTAAACACAACTATACATTGTAATCATGCCATAAATAGTTATTCACATCTGCACTTACTTTTTGCCAGAATCAGGGACCCAAAGGCAATAATGATGACAAAGATGGCACAGATGGCGTCCAGACGCACGGCGAACCATCGTGACGTTGTCAGAAACAAGAACCAAGCCTCTGGATTCGTGAACCACAACAAGCACGACAAATCAGTACAAAGCCATATGAACTGCAGTGAACTTGAGAGGCATTAAGATGTTTAGGCAGAGTAAGATGACAAGTTGGTACACGAAAAACTCGAAGGTTCCGGGAAGCTAGGTAATACAAGGCAAGATACGATCCATATCCAAGACACTTTGCTTTATGGAAGGTGCATTAAAATATGTAGCCTAAGCCAGACACTAGTGGCACAGGCCTGTAATTCTAACTACTCAGGAGTCTGAGATCTTAAGGATTGTGCTTTGAAGCCAGCCTGGGTAGAAAAGTCCAAAAGACTTCATCTCCAATTAACCAATAAAAAAGCTGGGCTGGATATGAGGCTCAAGTGGTAAAATGCCAGTCATAAGCAAGAAAGCGTGAAGCCCTGAGTTCAAGTCCTGGTACCATCACACACACACACACACACACACACACACACACACACACACACACGGAAGGAGAAAGGTAAGGGTAAAGAGGAAGGAGAAGGAGGAGAGAGGGAAGGAGGAGGGGAGAAGGGGGAGAAGAACAGGAAGGGGGGGAGAAAGAAGAGGAGGGGAGGAGGGAGGACAGGGGAGGAAGGAAAAGGGGAAGGTGGAGGGAGGGGAAGGAAGGAGAAGGGAATGAGGGAGGGGAATGAAGGAGAGAGAGAAAGAATAATGCAGGTAAGAAGAAAGGGAGGGAGGGAAGGAAAAAAGGGAGGGAGGGAGGGAAGGAAGAAAGGGAGGGAGGAAGGAAAAGAAAAATACAACTCAGAGGTAACATAAAGGACATACAATTATGAAAAAGAATGTGAAATGTATTGTAATGTCATAGGGTTAACTGTTTCCAGTTCTCCTGTAGTGAGTAGTATAGCATTCCATTCATTTCTAGCATTTTCCTTACATTTTTAGCCCTGCACACACAGGACATTCTTACAGACTGGTTGTAAATAACCAGAATGCTCAAAGGAGCTCATGGTTGTTGTTTTTTTTAAAGCAACATCTACCCATCAAAATAAAAAATTGAACAGATAGGTCAGGATTTTATAGATTCAGAGAAAATTCTAAAATTTCTAAGTGGGTAAAAAACAAAAACAAAGAACACCTTTACTCACACAAAGATTGTACGTACCAAGTAGCAAATCTGATAATCAAGAAATTGATTTGTTTAAGTCACTGTGACCCTGAATCTCAGTTTTTATGAATAAAGTTTTCCACAGTCATTGCTGTTTGTTTTCATGCTATAGCAGCCAAGGTACGAAGTTGCAACGGGGACAATCATGAGCCTGAGACATTTGTTTGGGTAGCGTTTGCAAAAAAAATTTTTTTAAAAGCTTGTTGACCCCTACCTTAAAGGGACAGGGCCATAGGGCAAGGAATCAATGGGCCATGCAATCCAACTGGAATGGAAGCTAGACATTGTAAAGGGACACTGAGAGGATTCCAAACCCAGGGGCAGGCAGAGAAGATGTGAGAAGATGGGGTATGCGGCTGTTCCCCTAGGGAAGCAGAGGTACAGATTGACAAGATCGTATGACCTGGGTGGGGGGGTGGGGGTGGGGATCAAGCTTGAGGAAGCAGTGGACTCTAGCCCCTAGGACCATGTACAGACCTGAATGTAAGTCCTGGTGTGCATCAAACAGCTCCTGACATCTCTCTTCTGCTTTGTAAGCCCGGATGGTCCAGAGCCCCTGGAGGGATGAGGACAGGTGGGAAAATACCGGACTTCGTGCTGCAGAAACAAGAGACAGACACAGAGGAAGCTCAGCAAGGTAGGGCACAAGTAGACAAGGTCCCTCTTGTGCCCCTTAGGTATCCGCCGAACAGTACACACAGTGCCTCCCAGGAGGTTTCAGTTCCTAGATGGAAGACCTATTGGTAAGATATGGAGTGTCTAGGAAAGGTCAAAGGAATCCATCTTCCAGTGGCTGCATATATTTAATAAAATGAACTTCTTCTTTAAGACATCCTAGTGACTGCCTGTGACAGTATGGTCCAATATGGATATATCCACCATGAACACAAGCATTGTATGTGTTTCTAGAGTGCTGGGGTACACATGGAAGAAGACACAGAACCATTCATAGCTGGGTGCAGGGACTCATGCTTGTAATTTCATCTTCTCGGAAGTGGAGATTGGGAGGATTTCAGTTAGAGGCCAGTCAAACAACAAGTCAACCAAACCCTGCTACAACAAATAAATCAGGTGTGGTGGTGCATCTATTTGTCATCCCAGATACGTGGGAAGCAGAGGTAGGAAGACCTGAAATCCAGACTGGTCCCGACAAAAACTTAAGACCCTACTTGAAAAGTAACAAAAGCAAGAACTGAAGGCATGGTTCAAGTGGTAGAGAGCCTGAGTGCAAGGCCCCTAGTTCAAGTTCTAGTACCACAAAGAAAAAAATCCTAATTAGAAGTCAGAATCCTGTTTTGTCAGTGCTATTCTGGTTAATATTAGTGCTACAAGAGACTTCTGGCTATTAATATATTTTCAATACCATGGTATAGAAGGTTCTCGTGCCTGTGGTAGTGGCTAGCAAGCACTTTGTATTGTCTCTGGCATGCCTCATGAGAACACCACAGGACAGTTCCTATTATGATCTTAACAAAGGGAGAACAGACCTGAGATACTGAGAATGCCACCTAATTAAATAAGCTAATCCAAGTACAGAGCTGGGTGCCAGACCTAACTCTGTTCTATTTACAAGGCTTTTAATTTGAGCCACAGTATCTTTGGAAGAATAAGCTGGGAGGAGGATTCTCATGTATCACTAAATGTCTTTTTCCTCTAGGCGTTGGGGCCTATGGTTAGAAAACTCCCAAATCTTACCTAATATACAATAAGCTTCTCCATTATTGTATTTCTTACTAAGGACCTCAAGTTGAACAATATCCCTGGGAATGTGACATAGGAACTTTTTAAAATAGCAGACTCAAGGATCTATGATCTGAAAATATGTGGCACGTTCTGCTAGCCATTCCTGTGACAGACATTGCTAAGGGATCACCGAGGATCTTCTCACTTACAATGTGGATGTAACTTCACAAATCCAGGAATGCCAAATGAACAGAGATGATTAGAGAACGGCAACCAAATTCCATTCTGTTTTTATGTATTCTCTATGACTGACCATTGCTACATTCACTTTAGAAAAAACAATTATGATCAAATGTCATGAAAACTGCTTAATTATCAGTATATCAGTGGCAGCTAGACAGTACTATTGGAATGAAAACTTTGGGACTCAGTAGTTCATCAAAACACATGACTTATCTTACGAGTACCTGTGGTCTTAGCTTTTAGAATGCAAAGCTAGCCTACAATTGCTCTATCTATCCATCTCACAGCTTCTGTGATACAAATCTCACCCTTCTTTATTTTTTTGGCTATGTCCTTATACTTCCTAAAAAAAAATACAAATTCTGCCAGGCACCACTGGCTCACGCCTGTAATCCTAGCTACTCAGGAGGATCTGAGGATTGCAGTTCAAAGCCAGCCCAGGCAGGCAGGAGAGTGTGTGAGTCTCTCATCTCCAATTAATCGCCAGAAAACCAGAAGTGGTATCGTGGTTCAAGTGGTAGAGTGCTAGTCTTGAGCGGAAGAGCACAAGGACAGTGCCCAGGCCCAGAGTTCAAGCCCCATGACTGACTTAAAAAAAAACAAAACCAAAACCAAAACTAACAACAAAAAAAACAAATTCTATTATCCTTATGGTTTTTCATTTGAGTAATAATATTGTGCATTCACAAGATGAACTCCATTATTTCATTCACTTTGATGACCTGTAAAAGAGTAATTTATCATAAGGTATATTACCAGTAATCCAGGAAGTTGAATAGAGCAATAGATAAAATGCACTCTAAATTGGTCCCTCCCCAGTGGTCTCCAAAGGGGATTATGTATACAACAACCATTTATAGCAGAAGAAAACTCAGTGTGGTGTTATGCCAAGTAACATAAAAAAAAGGAACAAAACTGAAAACAATGCTTAGATTTTGAGAATATTTAACAACTGAAATCTAGTATCAATAATAGGTAAAAAAATAAAATTTCACGTGTATTATTTCTACATCTACTCCTTTCCTTTCTCTAAAATCTTTCCCTGTTCTTTTTTTGTGACTGTTGGTATTTTCAGGGAAAGAAAAGTACTTTCCTTCTAATTTATTTCCAATCTATGATAAATAGTTTAGCTATTAAAGTGGTATGTGTGTGCCTGCACTGTGTATGTAAGGATTTAAGAATGACCCCTCTCTTCTATTGGAATATTATGCCATATACATCATCCACTTGTGCCTTGAGTTAAAATTAAAAAGTTGCCCCTGGCAGGCCACCAGTTAAGATCATAATGACCAGTGGTGACCATAACCCTGTTATTAATGACCTAATGTAAAGGAGATCATAAATTCTAGAAGATGAGAGTCCATAGAATTTCAGGGGGTCTCTTTAATAATGACACAAATGAAACTCAGGTCATACTGCCACACTGATGTTGACTTTCAACACTCACTTGTAGATTCCAGGCGTTTGACATCCCTTGATGTTTCTAAGAAGTATCTCCGGAGAACCAGGAAAATGATGGAGAGGGGGACTAAGGGAATTGCGATCCAGGGGATCACCGCCACGGCCACGGCTACCACACTGACCACAAGGAGCAATGTCTGCAATCGCAAAAACAAGATGAGCCTGCTTAGGCACAATTCTCAAACACAGACTTTAATGGGATGTGTGTGGGGATTTTATGCCTTTGAAAAGCCTTGCTGGGATAACTGGGAATGCTTTCCCATCCCAAGAAAAATGACACCTATCGCCTGTTCACTGTGATCCAGACACTATGAAAACAAGGCATTTGTTATTTAACATACTCAATAGTTCTATAATAGTTCTCCATATAGGAGATTAGAATGTTGAAATTGAGAGTAGAATTGAAACACAACACACCCCATAACCTGAGCCAGTAAGATGTTATTAATATAAAAGCATTATATATATATATAATACAAGTAAAAAATAAAATAAATTATATATAAAATTATACACAAACCGTTCTTTTACTGTCACTTGTCTCATGCTCTTTATGGAAGCTGGCAAAGGACAAAAATAGCTAAGTAAAAAGCTAACACATCACAACAAGATTCCAGTAAATCCAGTCTTACCTCTTCCTTCTGCAATTCCCAGGTATTCCAAGGAGCCTGATATACACACAAAACTTACATGCATGACTTGATTCCAAGTCTATTTGATATTCTATCCTTTTGGCCATGTCAAGGCTCACAGAGATGAAGATGTATACATGACAAGAAAATACTTTGGCCTAGAAAAACAATTGACCCAACCTCCAAATCTCCCTGAGATCTGTATCCATTTGGGAACACTATGTAGAAATTCCACTCAAATTTTCTAATTCCACATAAAATACAGAGAGACAAATCTTAGGTAAAATCTTCTACTTGGGTTGAGGTTTCATGATTTGTAAAAAGTCTGTAGTTTTCAGAAAATAACAACCAAAACCCAGAAGGGAAATTCTGTGAGCCCAGTACTAACAGCTTTTAGATAAACTTTTGAGCCAACTCTCTTTAAATATCAGATAGGAAGGGTAAGACTCCATTTCTCTGAGTCTTAGGAAAAACTGGGATATACTAACAAGCTAAAAGAATGGTGTTGAGAATTCAAGATGCTCATGTATACAGGGTTCTTAGAAGTTCATGTGTAACAAGTAGACTCTAGCAGCCTCATTATCATTCTTTGGTATATGGTTCTTGATGCCCAAAAGGGAGAGATGGCACAGTAATAGATCTTAAGATTCCTTAAGAATATCTTGACATCAGCCAGGCACCAGTGGCTCACTTCTGTAATCCTAGCTACTAAATAGGCTAAGATCTGAGGATCATGATTCAAAGGCAGCCCAGGCAGGAAAATATATGAGATCCTTATTTCCAATAAGCTACTCAGAAGAAGCTGAAAGTGGCACTGTGCCTTAAGTGGTAGAGCACTAGCATTGAACAAAAGAAACTTAGGGATGGCATCTAGGCACTGAGTTTAAGCCCCAGGATTGGGAAGGAAGGAAGGAAGGAAGGAAGGAAGGAAGGAAGGAAGGAAGGAAGGAAGGAAGGAA